GAGTTTCGCGGGAGGTGAGGCGACTCCACCTCCCACTCCGCCAGATTCGGCCGCCTTGCTAGCGGCCTCCTACACATCTGGGGAGGATGCGAATGTCGTAAGTTCTCGGTATACTTACGAGGACTATGCTGTCCACTTCGTCCCACCGTTGGACCAACCGCTCCACGTGCAACAATCTACCGCATGCACGGTTTCATCACCATCGGCAACCGATTCGGCAGCTTCGCCGCAATCTATCGCCAGGGATTCGACGTCATGGTCAAGACTTGAAGAGCTCGACCCGTTGACGTTCACGGACTTCCAGTGGATGCCCGTTCCCACGACCGGTCGATTGCCGAAACCGCATTGCAACGTGCTCATGGCACAATTGCGGGATTACTTGCACACTGCAGTACTGACTCCGTTGATGGACGCCGGAGTAGAGGTTGTCGACCTTCACGCCTACATTGCGAAGATCGACCGCGAGTTCAAGACGCAACGATACGACGACATCGACGCACCATTGCTTTATGTAGGCATTCAGATCGGAGAAGCGACCTGCAACGCTTTGATCGATTGCAGAGCATCTCACAACTACATCAGCCAAGACTTCATGGTGCGCGCCGGCCTTGGCCCAGGCGTCCGAAGGAAGCCCCAGCCTACGCAAGTCATGTTGGCGGACGGTTGGACGCACAAGTCAATCGACCGGTGCATTGATGATGTCCCAGTGTACTTTGCCCCTCACGCAAGTGAGGCGGTGTCCTTTGACATTCTGGTCACCAAATTTGACATGATCTTGGGCATGTCATGGCTGCGAAGCGAGGATCACCCGGTGAACTTCTATCACTGCACCGTTCACATTCATGATCGGAACGGAATACTAGTCCCATGCACGGTGCCTCTTCCTCATCCTTCGATCAGCTGCCACGTGGTGTGTGTCGCAAGCATGCGAGCATCCATCATCAGAGACGACATCGAGGAGATGGGGGTGTGTTTTCTCCACGCCCTCCCGCCCCATGACGCTTCATCGACGGACTCTTCTTCGGATCCACGCATCATCGAACTTCTCGACGCCTACAACGATGTGTTTGAAGGCCCGCACGGAGTAGTACCGGATCGGCCCATCCGCCACGAGATCATCCTCGAGGACGGGGCCGTACCTCCGCGCGGTTGCATCTACCGAATGAGCGAGGAAGAGTTAAGTGTGCTTCGGGCACGACTCGACGACCTTCTGGAGAAAGGCTGGATTCGGCCTAGCTCATCGCCATAAGGTGCTCCTGTTCTCTTCGTCTGGAAGAAGAACAAGGATTTGTGGTTGTGCATCGATTATCGCAAGCTCAACGCGCAGACGATCAAAAACGCCGGCCCTCTCCCACGCATCGCTACAAGACCGCGTTTAAGACGCGATATGGGCATTTCGAATGGTTGGTTATGCCATTTGGCCTTACGAATGCCCGGGCCACTTTCCAAGCGGCTATGACAACGGAGTTCCGACACATGCTGGATCGATACGTACTTATCTACCTCGACGACATCCTGGTGTACAGCCGGAGTTAGGACGAGCATATTGAACACCTGCGCACCATTTTGGAGCGGCTACGACAAGCCAAGTACAAAGCCAACCGCGACAAGTGCGAATTCGCGCAGCAGGAGCTGGAGTACTTGGGACATTATGTGACGCCGCAAGGCATCCTTCCGCTTGCGGACAAGTTCGAGGCCCTACGAGTATGGCCCGAGCCCACCAACACCATGAACGTTCGATCATTCATGGGATTGGCGGGCTACTATCAGCGATTCATCACCGGATACTCGAGGATTGTTGCACCTATGACGAGATTACAATCGCCAAAGGTGCCATTCGTATTCGATGACGACGCACGCCGGTCATTCGAAGCACTTAAGACGACTATGCTCATGGCACCCGTCCTTAGCATGCATGACCCCACCCTGCCGACGAGAGTGACTACGGACGCTTCCGACTATGGCATTGGGGCAGTCTTGGAACAGCACGACGGCGACGACTGGGACCCTGTGGAGTATTTCAGCCACAAAGTGCCTCCCATCAACTCGCTTGATGATGCAAGGAAGAAGGAGCTGCTCGCATTCGTGATGGCTCTCAAGCGCTGGCGGCACTTCCTCCTTGGGCGTCGTAGGTTCACATGGGTTACGGACAACAGTCCATGGACCTACTACAAGACGCAGGATACGGTGAGCAGCACTATCGGACGATGGATGTACTTCATCGACCAATTTGACTTCACACCGAAACATCTTCCCGGCCTCTCAAATCGCGCAGCAGATGCACTCTCGCGAAGACCTGATCTTTGCGCTATGACACATCATGCCTTCGCATTCGACGAGGAGCTTCAGCGACACTTCAGCAGGGGCTACGAGTCCGATCCAGATTTCGCCACGCTATATGCACAACTATCTTCGGATCACCCACCGGCCAGCCACAATCGCATCGCCGATGGGTACTTGCTCCTGCACTCGCGGGGCAAGGACTTACTATGTGTCCCATGCGACCGCCGTCTTCGGACTCGCCTCCTTAACGAGTATCATGATTCGCGACTCTCTGGCCATTTCGGAGTCAACCGCACTATATCACGGCTTGGACAGCGATTCCGATGGCCCGACCTCATCACCGATGTAACGAGGTATTGCGACTCTTGCGAAGTTTGCCGACGAAGCAAACCCCGCAACCGCAACCCCTACGGCGAGCTGCGCCCGATGCCGATCCCGCAGGAACCAGGTCTCTCCATCGCCATGGATGTCACCGGACCATGCCCCCACGACCGCCTCGGACATGACGGCATCCTCACGGTCGTGGACCGATTCAGTAAGTACGCACGGAGCTGGCACGCCTCCTGCACACCGGCTGGATTTGCGGCCATGGTGTACTGGAAGACATAGTTAGGGACCGCGACACTCGCTTCATGTCGGCATTTTGGAGTGCACTCATGCAGGAGTCCGGCACTAATATGAAGCCAAGTTCGGCTCGGCATCCACAGAGAGACGGGCAGACGGAGCGGGCACATCAAACCGCTCAAATGATGCTTCGTACGCTCATCCGTCCGGACCAGAAAGATTGGGTTGACCGCCTCCCCGACATCAAGTTCGCCTACAACACTTCGGTGCACCCGGCGATCGGCGTGACTCCATTCGAGTTGCACCACGGTGGACGGAAAGGCCGTATCTTCACCGACCTTCTCCTCCCACGACCAGCCGACATCGATGCCGCTTGCTCTCCTGCTTCCGTCCGGAAGTACAGGGAATTGCTGGCTCAAGCCCGAGCAAATATGCAGAAGGCTCAAGTCCGCATGCAGCAGCAAGCCAACAGGCATCGCGTGCCATGTCCCATCAGCGCCGGCGACCTGGTTTGGGTTTCCGCGGAAGAGTTTGCACTAGAATAGGATGTCTCACGCAAACTGCTTCCCAAGTGGTTTGGACCATGGCCCGTAACATCAGCCGCGGGTGATGAGCCCGATGGCCCGTCATTTGTGACCAACATCCCACCGCATCTGACGGTCCATCCAGTCTTTCACGCCTCAAAGCTGGCAACATACACGCCAGCTAAGAGCGACGACTTTCCGGGCCGACGATCGCTGGACCCTCCTGCTATGGATGGTCATCAGGAAGTTGACCGCGTCATCACYGATCGCAAGTACGGCAGCAAGCCGCGACAGTACAAGGTTGAATTCAAAGCCTGCGATCGCAACGACACTCGGTGGATTTCAGGAGCAGATTTGAAAGCATCCGCACCACTGATCTACGCGCATATGAGAAGCAAAGGTTAGCTCAGGAAGCTTCACGACCAGCCCCTCCCACCCGGACTGTGGTCCCTCCCTCAGACAGACAGCTTTGCCCTCGCAGGTAAGCTCGGTCTTTCAAGGAGGGGGGGGTGTGGCATACTGGGTAAGCCACACGGGCCCTGCAGGGCCCGTCCCGCACTTTCAGCCTACAAGCCTAGAAAATAGGGCTTGCAGGCCCCGGTCGTTTCAGCCTGAAACTGAAAAACGAGGGCCTGCAGGCCCTATTCCGTTTTCAGCCTATTTCTGGGCCTTTCAGGCCCAGAGGCTTTTCAGCCTGAAACAGAGGTCCATTTTCAGGCCCTCATTGTTTCGACCGACCCTAGGACTC